GTCGACCGTTGTGACCCGATTACGTTATACAAATGAAAATGTCCGTTTATCCAATGGAACGTGATTGTCCATAGCTGTGCTAGATCGTAACGTGCTAACGTTAGAACATGGTCTGGATCCAAGACTAATGGATCCAAGATTTTTTTTACACTAGAAAATTTATGTTACGCCAAAAAATAAAAATAAAATCGATTCGGCCAAAAACTGATTTTGCTTGAAAAATCCCGTTTTTCTTGATTTTTTTCATCCATTATAATATTGAAGATACTGGGAACTTTCAATGTTGATCTCTGGAAAGTACTTACTAGGTACAATTATTTTCTAACAAACCATCACCCTCAAAGTTAAAAGTGATTTTTAAATAAACAGACATACAAAAAAATATACATACACATTATCTCTCCCTCTAAAATCCTAAATGTTTAACTAAATGTAAGAAGCATATTGTGTTGGATAATTTATTTGTTTTTAGATAAAATGAACTCTACAAGATAAGTAATATTCAAAACCCGAATACATATAATAAACATATGTATGGTTTATTTTTATAGTTTTATTATATATATTTTTTTTTTGTATTACAGAGGTAAAAATATACAATTATTTTCTGTGGTCGAGTGGGGCCATGTTTTAAACAGATGTAAGTAATGGTTAATAATAGACTCTTTGTTTCCTTTGGATGTTTAATTATTCTGTGTAAATTAGTTGCATAAGGTTTTTATACGTCCCTGCGTTGGCATAATTAAGGACAGGAAATTGAGGTTGCTAAACATTGCTTGTTCTACGACCAAAAACAATTTGCATATAATTTAGTTATTTAACTATGTCACACTTTTCGTTTCTCTCGATTTAGTAATTTAATTACATACATTTTTACGAAGTCATTTATTATTTTGTAGTTTTTACTGTTACACTAAGCTTGATGAATATGTCTTTAAAAAGTTTTTTATTTCATTAATTATTGTTGTTTTTAAGTAATTGTAAGTTTGATAAGTAAGATCTAAATAATATTGCTGTTATATACATCTTACATTTTAATTGTTACAAATATTATTTGACACATTCAAAGAGGATAGCAGAAGTTTGAACAAAGTATTTGAGTCACCTAATAAGTGACATCATCAGAGGTCATTAATTTGAACAGTTTTAAACCCTAGATTATATAGAACGGAATAAAAAAAAATATGAAATTGAATCGACAGAACTTGGGACATATTAACTTATTGAAACTACAAAAACTATAAAATATACCAATTCAATAAGCATTTCAATATACAAAGAAAAGCTAGTTAACTGTTAATGGAAAAAAAAAACGTATACATAACTACATAAGTTTATTTACCAATGGTCATGAACGAAATAACTTCAATTTCATGCTTGTGAAATACAGCTGATATTTCAAAGGAACTGTCCAATGTCTGAGTAAATGTGTCTGGAGCATATAGAACCCACAGTTATATGAATTCAATTTTCTTTTGTATATAATTTTTACCAAACAAATATTCCACACAATATCATCTCACTAACCGTCGACTAAGATATCATGTTTTTATCCATAGTAGGTAGTGTTTTGAATATCTGTTCATGGTTCGTGCGCCCATGCCACCCCCTACCCTCTTCAATCTATACTTACATATTATATTAATAGTTATAAATTATTATAGTAATACAATTTTATTTTTATTTTCATCCTATTAAATATAATGTCAAATAACCCTTTGAAAAATCCTCTGTACGGACTTTGCTATATCACTAACTATACTAAATTAGATTTAAACAGGGTTAAGTAATTGAATTCTTTATTCAACCGTTTTGTAATTAATTATTATTTAGGTCAAATACTTTTGTAGCTAAATCATAAATACTTTGTTTGTGAATATTAGAAGATACTATTATGCATGTTATTTTCCCTTAGTGGGTAAAACTTATAGAAACTTTAAAAAAAAATTTGAAAGCCTTTGATAGTGTATACACTTGTATATATTTACTTCAAACAATTTAATTAATTTAAACTAATTTAAAGTTCGATTAAGTAATGATTTATATTATATTTGACATTATTTTTACAAATGGTTAAGTATTGTCTTTGTAATTTAAATTGAAATATAATTTAATAATAATAATACAAATAATTAATAATTATATGATACTTAATGTATACGTTAAAATGTCATTAAAAAATATTTAAATATGTATCATTTTCAAGTTAGTACGTATGATTAAGTAGTATATTAAATAATCAATTAATAATAATTTAAACTGGAATTTAATAGACCAACATGAGCCTACATCCTAAAATCAAAAGAAAAACAACAAACCCCAGATTTCGCCTCTTAATTAAAATTGAAACTTCCCCTATAAAATAATCTCAGAATTAATTAATAACCCTACCTGTTTGAACAAACGGAATTTTGTTTCGGGGTTCGATAAAGCACTCCAACACCAAACTTATTCGTTATAGGTTGGGCGTTTAAGTATTAACTTCCTTAACGTTTTATACCACTAATAAAAATTTCCTCAAAGATTTTGTAGTACCTACTTTCAAGATTATTCTTAGGAAGGACCCACAATCAACTATAGGTAAACCATAAAACTTGCATAGCGAAGTAAAGTAAGCCATTATTAAAACCTGTTAATCGAATAATTGTTCTCTTTTTAATTCCCCGGAAAAGTCGAAAGAAGACTTAAAAGAAATTGTCTCAAAGATGTACTCAAATTATAATTAATTAGTCCGCAAATAGTTGTGCTGAGTTGCTTCTCGTTAACGCAAGGTATTCATGTTATGTGTTAATAGTTAAGTATGTCATCACATTTACTGATTGTGCATTTGTAAAGATCGTTATTCGTTAGTAGGATAAAAAACACCAAGTTGTAAAAAAAAAAAAAACTAAGAAATATAATATTATTTTAACAGCGATAAAATTATTTAAAACACACGATGAGGTAAATATTTTCATTAAGCCCCTATTGTTGTTTAGTGTAGTAAACTTAATATTAACTTTAAATATATTTTAAATGTAGGTATAAATAATTGTATTTACATTGTTTATATAATAATTAATCTAATGAAAACACTTTATGTCACTTATAAAGCCACATTAATACATTACCTTTAATAAAAGGCGTTAAAAAAATTTGGAAACTCTTTAATTACTGTTTCCATACTTTTGTACTTACATGTAGCATAACATATAACACTGCTGTACATTTATTGGGGCATATAAATGATGATAATATGATGTAATTAAAATGAAATGATTAAATATTTTACCTAATAAATGTACAGCAGTGTTATCAGTTTTAATAAATTAGATTAATGACCGTTTCCAAACATTTGTTTCTTGCTCAATTCTAACACTTCAAATTAAATTCTATGTTTCAATTTCTTCATTTGGTCGTCAATTCCTTAATTTTTCTTTCAAAACGAGAGTTAGTATTTCTAAGTAATATAAATTAAATTTTTTTTTTCATATTGACTGAATTGAACTATTCGTAAATATAAATTGTAAAACATTTCAAATGTACGAGTAAATATAAATTGAAAATCAAACACCATTGCTCCATTTTCAGATAAACAAAATAAGATTTTAAACTTCTCGTCTAATATTCTTATGTACTAAATGTATACCACGTTTTATTTCTTCTATTTACAAAATAATCGTTTTTTTTTTAATCTTAAAAATTATTTTTATAGTAATGAAAAAATATAGTTGTATGTGTTAACATAGATATTACTATGTTGGATATTTAATTCTTTAGAGTATAAAAAGTATCAAATGTTGGAAATTTGTTTACTACTAGGTAAGCAACTCATTTATCATCATTCTTTTTTAGCAACCTAAAAATAAATATTTTCCCATCATAATCAGTAATCAGTAATGGAATATTATGTTGACATAACGAGGCATGATGACCAATATCATGGGATAATCATTATCCCTTCAGATTTCAATGTTCGGTTGGGGCTTTGGACAAAAATATTTTCGTAGTGGGTGTATTGAAGTACCTATAGAAGAGTTGTACAGTGTACACCTTTATTGTTAAAAAATAAAATATAAGTTTCTACCGATTCATTCATACGGATTCATTCAACTTATGTACCTTTTTTTTACAATAGTTTGACCAACAGACACTTGAGTGATTATCACAATAATAAATAATAATACACTCTTACTCAATGTATTATATAAAATAATCATACTATTCAATTGATACTAGTAAATCTGGGTTACAAGATTTTTAATAATATCACAGTGCATCTTAACTCTCAGCCAAGTTTTCAATAATTTATACGTACGAAAAAAAACAACGTAAACGTCGTCATTGAAACCAATTTATTAGCTAATTATTTTATGCGATGCATATTTTATAGTGATTTTAAAAATTCAAAATGTATTTGTAAATATTTTGGGTTAAGAAAAAGTAAAATATTTTTATACTTACTGTTTGAAGATTTTTATAATTACCGAAATATAATAATATAATTATTTATGGAAGTAGATGTACATTGTATACATGTACGGACACTTCAAAACTTCGTATACCTACATATTTATAGATATTAAAATGTATAAAGTATTAAGGTATAATAAACAACGATTCGACAAAAAGTTTATGTCTGGTATGAACCCTAGAAAATTATATTACTCGTATATCAATAATATACATTTAATACGTAATACAGGTACAATAGATTATATTAATATATTGTTCTACGAAAAAACATTTTTAAAACAAAAACAATTTTTAATTTATTAAATAATTTATTATTGAGTGGTGCATAATACAAGTGGGTTTAACCCAGAAAATAACATATGAATAGTATACTGTATTTTTACATGCGTAGTACCTATTTGTTTATTATAGTATGCATTATTTAAAGAGTACATTTTAAAATAAATAGTGAAAGTCAAATGTATAGTTAGTTGTCATTAGAATATTATTTATTTATTCCTCTAAAATCACGAGACTAAAATTATATTTACAAAGTGAATCTATTCATGATATTAAAAAACAACAAAAACATCTTTACTTCTATGAGGTCCAATTTTTTTTTTTGCAATCATTGAGTTCTAATATTTTGGTGTAACTTCCATCGTCTTAACACTATTGTAGTTGACGATCACCGCCAATATGATGAACACAATACCAAAAGCCACAAATATGTATTTAACATATTTCATGATAGTAATTGGCAAAAATAGTTTATTCTTTATTTGATTAGTCCACGTCTTGTTCAAAGCGATTCCCTGTAATTGTATGAACCAAACTATGTTTTAATAAACGCATAATTACTTGTAAAACATATTCTGAGAGGAAAGCCATTAATTATATTCATCATAGTGAAAAGTTGTAAATCTAGATTATATACGCTAGACGAAAGTTATACTACTCTAACGAGTTCAAGTATTTATATAATAATTTCTAATAAACAGATTAATTTACCTCTTCAACCCAAAACAGTGGTATTAGTTTCTCATCTTCGTTAAGTGTTTTCATAACGCTTATTTTTGATTCTTTTTTCAAAAAAATATTGAACTGCAAACGTTTGTAACCCAATAATGGAGAACCAGTCATCTGTGAAAAAATATCATTAAATAACATGATATAATCGGTACTCTCACTAGTATACCGTTAGGTAGAGTTAATACTTATAATTTAAATGTTGTGTTATGTGGTCAAATAGATACGTTTGAGAATAAAATCAACTTACTGGTTCGAAGTACATTTGAATCCTATGTTTTTCAGCGTCGGGGTGGAGTCCATCAACATTGTTCAGATATTCTTCGGATTTATAAAAATGAGGAAGTGTTGCAATTATAGGAGCACCTGTACAACACAATAATTAATTGTATTCCACCTTCTTAAGTTATCATTTTGTTTCTAGAGAATTATCTAGTATCTTATAATATCTTTAAAATCTATGACCAATATTTTAAAACTTTGACCGAAAATTTGTTAAAAACTGTAATACGCGATTATATAAAAAAATGCTGACCCGAACAGTTTGTCAAATCCAATGCTCCAGGTTTTAAACATTTTTTTTGATTCAAACAAAAACATTTTTCTTCCGGTTTTACTAATATGGCCGAATACTCAAATACATTTAATCCATTATATTTTGTTTCTTGTACATAGTCTGGAGCCAATGATCTAAAAAATTATTGAAATAATTGAATAAATAAACAGTATTATTTTATACCAATTGAAAATAAATTATTATTATTATTATTATTATTATTGTTATTATTATTATAGTTAATAACTGTGCAAAAAATATAAAAAAATAAAAAATAGATATTTATAGGGAAACAAAGAACAACTAGGTTCATTCCATCAATTTTAATTCGTTGGTTCATTTTAACAATGCAACAGTTTCAGATTAACGTCTTTTTTTTGCCAGATTAGATGTGATTTATTTTTAGTCGATCTACCGTGTGCCTATTGCGTACCCACTTACAGGATCTGAAGATTTTTCAGATAATGCTGTTATCGATTTTATTGGCATGCCTATCATGCCAAGCGGGCCATGTGTTTCTCGTGGTCGTGGGGGCGAGGATATATTATCATGGTAAGTCCTAGCAGGGTCTTGGGGTGGTCTACATTTTCCGTAACGATCTTTAATACACTATGCCAGTATTTAGTAAATATGTTTATTGAGAGGTTTTAGTTCCTTCAAGACCGTCACCCGGCATTATCGGATTGATTGATCTTGAAAGTATGCAGTTTTGAAACTAAATTTTGAAACTCTGTTGAAAATTAGTTGCGAAATATTGACATGGGTTTAGAATGAATCTTGCAAAGCCGGATGAGGGGGGGGGGAAACTTGACAGACGTTCCGTATGGCCATTGTGTTTCTGGGTGGTCGCAATCATATTATTATAAGTAGGTACATAATATTTCGTATAAGTTGTTCATTTGATCGATAGTGAGTTGTTTAATGTTATTTTTCTACTTCTGCACTACAGCAGTTGTCTTGTAGTACTTATTATTAGCAAGTGTCATATTTTACTGTGTTATTCATATTGGTAAGAACACATTTCAATTAAGTGCGCGTAAAATGTGTCGCTTATCGTTGCGTTTTTTAGGAGCCTAATCTTGGGGTTAAACGAGGACTTTTACTGTACTACCAAATACATAATGTAAAGCAATGGCAAGATATGAGACCAGAAACAATTTATAACTTGGAATTAATACAGTTTGTGTTTAATAATATGTAGATGTACCAGAAAAATCACGCGAGAGTGGTTAAAAACATATAACACGATTTGAAAAATATTGAAATTTAGAAAAAAAATCGAAATATATATCACTGATTTAATATAAGTTTCTCAGTAACAGATACTGCTTGTATGTAGGATTCATAGTTTTTAAATGTTCGATTCAAGTGCAATATTTTCCACGTACTTTTATTATGTTATTAAAAAAATTAAGTGTTTTATCAAAAGATATAATCATGTTGTGCATGATGACTTCTGATGTGTTTGGTATGTAGCAGGGGTGGGCAACTGAAGGCCCGAGCTACATTTCAATTAATTACGTCATACGATTGTAATGTTTATCGTCTATACTCTATAATATATCTAACACCAATTAAAATGAATGTTTTGAACGGCCCTCTTTTTTTATGCTTTCTATGCTCCAGCCCGCTAGATTTTGATTTTCTAAAAATTGGCGGTCTAGTAACTTTGAGTTGCCCATCCCTGATATATAGCGTAAGTACACTGCACCGGCAAACGTCACCGCTGAAGCTGGCCAGGTTGGTGTCCTTCGTGATGAACGGCTGAAATATCGTGGTGTCCGTCCCGTATATCTTGTTGCACTCTTCGCCGGGCCACACTTCCTGTTTGTGTTTGTCATTGAACCGGATCACTTGGCCAACTTCCGTCGCTGGCGTAGTGTAGCCGCGTTTTACTGTGTAACGGTTGCTCTCGATGGTTCCGTTTTTCTGGACCAAACAAAACGCAACAAATATTTTAATCACATTAGTTGTAAGTGGCGGCGGAGTGAGCCACTCTAAACGATGGATTCTAAGTGGATTTCCGTAGGTATAGTAAACGCGCTGCGACAAAACCCGATTATAACCTTTCGGACATTGATATTATTGTTACGTGCGACTGTTTTTAAAATTGTTTTTTTATTTAAATCTGTGCTTAACTTTGCACTCAATTTGTCATAACAGAACAGCTCACGATTTACCAAAAAAGATCTTCTCCTCTGACGGGTTTCGGTGTAAATACACAAAATCGTTAGACTAATACTGAAATACTGAATCCTATGCAACCGTATAATATATTAGCACTCGTACAAAACCATTAATGTTACCATCTACAATGGTATTAGCTAATTATAGACTGCAGTTAGTTTACATTTTATTTTATTAAAAAAATACTATACCACTCCGAATAATGAAAATTTGAAATGATCCTTGCTGATTTTGTGTAAGCTCGCCGAATTTTGTCTTATCTGTGTACAAATAGCAACGGCTGCAAACTCTCCGGACGTACAATTTATATCCAGTCCATTCCACATGATGTCATTAGCGGTTCCCATCATAAATGCACTGGTTTGATCTGGATACAAGTAAGGAATTGCTTTATTTACCAAACCCAGTGCGGCCGGTTTCATGATCTTTGTCATAGTTACCATTCCCTACACAAATTCAAAATTTAATTGGATTATGTTCATATTATATACATATGAAAAATTCAAAATGTAGTTCATTATTTACTAAGTGTCCAAGTACATATAGTTTGTAGAATAGCTCAAGTATACTTAAGCATAGGTGTAACTAGACCTCTAAAACGTGGAGTGCTATACTTTTAAATGCTTCACAAGGCCGTGAAGGGCTTTGCCCCAAAATAGCCCAAAATAGTTTTTATTATTTTTAGGCAAATATTTCATAGGTACTTTATAAACATGAAATTGATGGTATTTCACTATAAAAATAATAATTAGACCTAAAAAACAATGGTTGCTAAATTAGAACTTGAGGGTGCTAAAGACTCTTTTGCACCCCCCTAGTTGTGCCAACGTACATAATAAGCAAACGTATTTTCAAAAAAACAAACATTTAAATTGCATAAAAAAGATGATACTCATGTATTTTACTATAGCATCATAACTATATTATAATCATCAGCTTTTATTTAAATAAATATTTCATATTGATAAAATAATAATACGAGTATATTACTTAATATGCAACATTGAACATACTATCATAGCCAAATGAGGCATAACTATAATTTCATCTCCTGTTAATGGTAGCGTCGACATTTCGTCAAGCACAAAAGTGTTTTTGAAACTAAACTCGACAGTGTCTGCATCAATATCGTCGATTAAATTTTCTTTTTCTTTCCATTCTCTAAATTACAAAATGTATGTTGTCGGTTATTTTTATGAGAAATTTAAATGCTTAAGCTTACTGATAAACATAAGGCCCGACTTCTTTAATTATGACTTTTTCACCCTTCTGTGCTTCTTCAGGATTAGTTACGTTGAACAAATAAATTTTAAAATCTGCATATATTGGAGGATGCGACCACATCTGACGCATATTTGATCTCGGATTTAATGCTTTACTCTAAAACAAATACAATTTCATACCTCATCAAATTATTTAAAAGTCCTAAACATATCACTACTTGATCCGTTAACAATGATTATTTCATTACATTTTGCCTTTATATTCCTATGGTAAATATTAATACATTTTTTAATGTAATATTATATACTTACACAACACACTCTTATATTCGTCTCATATACGCATAAAATGCAGTGGTATTAATTGAAATATGTATTATTAATTCGTGATATTGTATGTGTCCTTAAGAGAACGCTACACAACCGTTTGTTTTTTCCTTCTTAAAAGTGTGTAACATACCAAATTTGCAATCAGCAGATCACGTTTAGCTCCGTTAGTTTAAAAATTAGAGTGAATCAACCTATTATAAAATTTGATGGTAATAGAACATTATTTGTGTTTGTATGTGGGTTTCTTATGATTGTTCAATTTTTAGAAAGTTATGAGTATATACCACAGCTTAAATTAAAAATGCTCATAACTCACTTAAAAATAGAATTATTATAAAAAAAAAATCAAATACAAATACAGATTATATTCTTACCATTTAGTTTTATAATGGGTCAAATCACTCTAATTTTTAAACTAACCGAACAGAACATGATCTACTGACTATTTATTTACCATGTTACACACTTGTAAGTTGTGAGACGGAGACTACAAATGGTTGTATAGTTTCTTCTTAGTGTACATACAATCGTAATTGTTTTGTTATAAAACGTTCCACTCATTCAATAAATGCAATTATGTAAATAAAAGACTTAATAAATAATTTTTTTTTTTTATTAATTTGAGTGAATATCAATATTAAATATTCAGCAGTAGCTCAAAGGATTTCACGTATGAATATTTTTTAACGTTATTATTAATAATAAGTTGATACACCCAAAAGAATAATCATACAATTCTGGTTGATTCTAAGAGTTATGAACTTTCACAATTTCATTATAAAATATAATCTCAAGTTTTAAATGGATGAATCAAATAGCGCAGATAATCTATATTACAATTCTCGAATTTAGGTACCTACCTATAATATTGCACATTGCAGAAATTACAGACTGTACAATTAAATTTTCAATTATATCCATTTATTCATTTTGTTGACATGGATATAATAATTGATTTTAAATGAGACGAATTTACATAATCCATTGGTACTAAATCTCGCAAATATCTCTTCCGCGAAATGTGTTAAATCTACTTCGACCCATAGAACCATGAAGAAATTGACTGCGCTTAGAGAAAGAGAGATAGGTGAGAAAAAATAATTTTTAAAGAGACAAAGATGGATACTAAAGGGTGTCGCGGAATAAATGGATAAAAAATTTAATTTTCCCATTTAAAAACAATAATCAATTACTAAAGACATATCGATCATTCAAATAGCTACTCGATAAAGTGATTGCAACTTAAAAGAATTTACGCGTTAATATTTGTTAACAAGAGCTCCTCTTTTCTCACTCAATAGTTGATTTGCTTTGTACGGTGAGGAAATCGCAGTGCATGTATTTATATGTCCATGTCCTGACCTCGTATAAAATATAAATTTCCAACAAAATTATCGCGTCCGCCAGAAAACGCAACAAATAAAATACGAAATTAGATTGTTCTATTGTATAGATGGAAGTATAGATCCAAGTTAATCATGTTAAATTAAATAAACGTATACGGAGCGTATAAAGCCATCGTAAAGTCTACTTTGAACCTACAAAGTTAGTGCACCGGAACCAAACGTTGCTAAGATATCACCATTCGGATAGCGTTGTGAATGTGAGAAAAACGACTTGCCATTAATTACCTGCACAGTGCAGGGAAAAAATATATACGCACCACCTAGGTAATCAGAGCCATCGTAGTTAACAAATCGTCAACAACGCAACGATACAGTCAAAGGTTAATTTTGTGTAGGCAACTAAAATATAATTATTTTAAGAAACTAGGAGCAATTTACGGGGGATGAAGATGGGAAACCCAAGCGCATAATAATATCAAGTACACCTAGGCCCAATTAATATTTATGGACTTGATTGTTGTTATTTATAATAATTCATACGTGATTTATGTAACGACTTTTGTACGAATACGCATAAACTGTGTTAATACTTAATAAAGTTGCATTAGAGCAGTGGAGGGGGCGGGAATAGGGGCAGTGTCCCCGGGCCCCGCGATTTTAAAATTATAATTAACGCCCTGCAGTTCTGAAATGATTTCTACTGTTCAGAGATTTGACTAAATTTCCAAAATTGAATTTATTGAAATCATTCTTCGTAACAAATTATTGTTGTATAAAACAGTTTTTTATTGTTGAAAATAATTTTTTTTATACCTTGAATCGGATGCGGAATGGTTATTTTTAGACGTCAGTCGCGGCGGCCGGAAAGCCCGCCCGACGGTATAGGTTTCATTGTATTCTTATTTATAAGTTATAAATATTATAAGGTACTATTTTCAATACTTTAATATACATTATCATCAATTTATATTATACTGTATATTACACCACCAGCGTAGAGTAGAGACAAGTATGACCATTAGTGACACTAGTGTGTTGCACTGTTGCTTGTGTCTGTGTGTGTTTTCGTCTTTCGAGCATTTGAGTCGGTCGCTGGTTGATGTGTTTTTTCTTATAGTGTTATTAACGTGTAATTGGAAGATTATTCACGATTATTATTATCTATTCACAAATAAGTTTTTACTTCACATAAATTATTATTTTACACTTCTACGTGACAACGGAGTATGACTAGCAGAGATCATGAAAAGTTTCGTAAGTATAAGAGTGGTAAAAACAAAAAAAAAATTAAAACAAAATATAAACAGATTAGAAAGATGCATATTATCTTAATATTTCAAATGACATGTTACACAGTTCACTAGCTTTTTTGAAATCTTACAGAGAATCAGAATTTATGAATGCTAATATTATTGCTAATAACCTGGCGGAATAAATTAAAGTTGAACCAGTATTTAAGAAAAACAGACCAAGAAAGAAAAAAATTGATTATGAAGGAAACGGTGAAAGAATCAATGACAGAGAAAAAAAATTTCAGACAAGAATATTTCTGACTAGCTATAGATCGAGCAACTAGTTCAGTTGAAAAACGTTTTAAACAAATTGAATCGTACTAAGGTTATTTTGTGTTTTTTTTTTTTTGCATTGGCAAGTACGATACACGAATGATGACAATTTAATGAAATATTGTAAGAACCTTAAAATTAATCTAAAAGACGGGACTTCGAAAGATATTGATTTCATGGAGTTGTTTAATGAATTGGTCAATTTCAGATTGATAGTAAATGAAGAAACGACTCCTCTTGAAGCTTTGACGTGGTGTAATATTCTTCAGAATGTTTTCCAAATATTGGTATTACTCTTAGAATTTTATTGATAGTACAAGTTAACTTCGGCATGTGCCGAGAGAAGCTTTTCGAAATTGAAATAAATTGAAACATATTTGAGGAACAAATTAAGTCAAGAAAACCTTTCTGGTCTTTCAATAGAAAAAAATATTTTTAAATCTTTAGATTATGATGATATCTTAAATCATTTTGTTGCTACAAAATCAAGAAAAGCAATGTTTTAAAAAAAGGAAATAATTGGATGAATGTAATTTGTCTTGTTTGTTAATATTGTTTTTTCTGTTATATTGATTTAATTTTTAAAATTTTTTTTAACTTCAATACTGTATTTCCATTATCATCTATGTGTTTACTGTTTATACATGTTATACAATTATTGTATAAAAATTTATTAAAATATTATTGATTATATATAAAATGATGGTTGATATTTGATAATATTGATATAGTAAATACCTACTTAGTTTGGATAATACGTATACATAATAATATATCTAGATTTCGAGCATAGCAAAGAGAAACATTTTTTTTGCCATATTTTTGATAGACTGTTATTTATTTTGCCCAGAGCCCCACAAATCCTATCGCCGTCCCTGCATTAGAGTTCATCGTGTGAAAAATAAAAAATAAAAAACACTTAACAGTGTAACAACATAAAATAATATTATGTAAATACCAATAACATGTTGGTAACCAGTGTAATCCCCCTGGTTTTTTTTTTTGGCGGTGGTGTTTTCATAAATAATCCATGATCGATAATTTGGAGTTATCATACATGTACTAAATGTGGTGATGAGGATATCATCGCCATTTCGGTGCAAACTAACTGATTTGGTTTTATTAAAATACTGGCTGATCCTGTACCGTGCCGTTGACCGTGACAAATTAAAACATCAGTGGATTTTGCCCTGCTATAACACCGTTAATTACTAACTGCGCACATTTTTTATACAGCTATTTGTATTATTTTGGCTGAATACAAAAAAACAGGTCTAAATAATGATATCCAATCATAGTAGTCAGTAGAGTAGTTGATTTGGCTGTGGATCGCTTACATGCACACACAAATATTGTCTTTCATTTATGTAGATATACATTATAGAATATACGTTTAAGTGAATTACAATTATCTAAGTCCGAGAAATCGTAGACCAATTTGCGAATGAAAAACAAATCTGTCTCAAAAATATTCACATCTCCGATTTATTTTTACTTTTTGATCTTTATAAGACCATAAGATAAATAGTTATTTAAAGATAAATCTATAATTGACTCGCTGTGTGTGTGTTACCTGGTGGGAGACCCCTGCGATATTTAAGTGAGTTACAATTTTAATCGCCTTTGATTATGTCAGGAACGACTTATATGAGTATTATTATAGTTAATAACAACTATAAGAGGCATCAGAACGATATTTCTAAAGGATGAAAACATTTTTTACGGTGTGAAATTAATAATGCATTATGTTTTATTATTCTAATTAAATGTTTAATGTATACTTGAAAATATGGCAATTTAATAAAACTCTATAAAAGATGATTGGTTATTGAATCTCCTCTGGTTCAGATCCTTCAATTTATTATGCATGCATTCGATAATATTGAAAGAATAATACAGTTACTTCCGCACGAAAA